ATTCAAGGCCAGTCTGGTTTACCAAGTGAGTTCCAGACCAACATGGGCTACATAGCAAGTTCTGGGCCAGTCTGGGCAGCAAAGCAAGCCCTGTCACAATGAAAAAAATAAAAGAAAGAAAAAGATTGTTAAGCAAAATCAATCCCTTTAATGTTGTTTGGATTTTAATTAGTTTCAATTAAACTGTACTGGACAGTTTATATATGGATGCTACATTTTGTATATGGCTTGCTTCAGGGAGCTGCTAGCTATATATTCTACAAGCTAAAAGACTCCATCCCAAGGCACTGAGAGAGCTGAGCTATCCATTTGGGAAATGGTCACGGCAAGCCTATCACCTGCAAGTTCTTGTGCGAACTGCTGTGGAGAAGACAAAGCTGAATCAGACTGAGCCAGTGAGGATGAGTCCATTCTGATGAGCTCCATTGCAGGGGCTGGAACAGCATGGCACTGGCTGCCATCTGGGTTGTGGCGCCCAGGAGCAGTGGAGATGCAAGCAGCCCAGCCTTGGCAAAAAGAGGAGCCCTGTCCAAGGTAGGGAGGAAGGAAATGAGGCCCCTTTTGCAGATGGCTAAATGATTGGCCATGGAAATGTGGCTGGAAAGAAGGAGCAAATTGAATTACATCACCTGACAAGATCAATTTCTTCTGTCAGAAGTTTCTACTGCACTCAGGGAATAAGTGCTTATGAGAGCTACAGCATTTTTTTGTTGTGTTGATTTTTCTTTCTTGAATCTCTTCTCTTTCTCTCCAGCTATGTGGAGTGGAGTGTGGAGTGTGTCCAGGAGTAGGGAGAATTCTGAGTGGATAGAGGGGATGGAGCTGGAAGGAGGGTGTCTCATACCTCAGTTTATTACCCTGATTGGAAGCAAAGTTGGTCATACTGGGTCTACGAACCACTCTGGCCAGAGCCCCTGCTCTAGAACAGTGAGATTAGAGTTCAAAACACCTTTCTCCCCATTTTCCATATCACCTTCATTCTCTCTCAACTGCAGCTCCAGCCTAACCAGTAGCTTATCTGTTCTCACTTACTAACTCTTGGAATTACAGGCTCTTTTGCTTTAATGGTTTCTGGAACTGTCTTTATTACCTATAACCCTTGATCCCCATGAGGTAGTCTTCCCACAAGCAACCTGTTTTGTTCTGGGAAGCCCTGAAATTCTAATACCTATTACTGTAAATACTCAAAGGAAACAAAGATAAAGATCATGACCTTCAATCTGACAGATAACAGAGGCAAATGCTACATAGCAAGATAAGTGAAAGGCAACATTAGCTGATTTGCAAAATCAGCTTAAAGATGGTTAGGTTAGATCCATGCTTCTGGACCTTTCTTGAACTCTTATTGAGACGGTAGGGTGCCCTGAATCTCCATCGACTTTTCCCAGTGCCATCCTGATGACTGCAAATGTCAGGGTGTAAGTTCAGTCCTTTATATCTTTTTAAATCTTCACAACAGTCCTATAAAAAAGGTATTAAATGTTATCTCATTGCTCAAGGGAAGTCACTGATCACAGACTGATTAAAGGATTTGCCCAAAGACACACAGCTAGAAAATAGCAGAACCAGAATTGAATCTAGCCTTGTTCTGCCAAATCTCACACTTGCCTTTATGCAACTTGCTGTTACTATATGTAGATTATCTCCACAAAATATTTCCACAACTTGTTATTTATATGAACATATTTTACAAATTAGTGGGGTTAGCTTAAAAATAAAATATATAAAATGTTTTCTTTTTTTGAAAGACTCTGTGATGCAGTTTTTATAGGAAAGAAAGTGAGGAACAGTCAAAGAAAAGTCATATAAAAAGATATTGAACCCCAATATATTAAAAAAACGATATTGAAAGTGTTTTTTCTAGCCTCGTATTCTGGAGCCAGAGTACTTATCTTTTAATCATCCTTTCCACAGAGATTTTAGAGCTCAACAATGGGGAGTCACTGATAATCTGAGTACTATAAAATGACAGAAAGCAGAGCCTATGTAACAGGACCAATACAGAAGGGGTGCTGATGACCCTACACCGCTCCTTTGCTGCGTTTTCACTTACAGTCAGAAATGGCAGAGAGGACCAAGGAGGGGTGGAGGGGTGGGGTAAAGCCCTATATTCTCTACACTGAGAGAGTTGGGGGTGAAAACAATTCAAGTAGGAAGAAAGCAGTGCTTAGTAACCTTCATGAGCGTATTATGTCTTCAGAGGAAGCCCGCCCTCATTCCATCCTGTGATGCTGAGGTGGGCTCTGAAAACCACATTTGTTTTGCCAGCCATCCTGGATTAGGCTCTTCTGGATGAGGGGCACTGGAGGGAGACGGCCAGGTTGGAGGAGTGAGTTCCGGTTTCCGCCTTGCCGCTTACTTCCTGTTACTGTGGGCATTGCCATGTCAACGCCAGGTTGCCTTGCGTGCATGCGTGCGTGCGTGCGTGCGTGGTGCCTCCTTTGTGTATCTGCACTGAAACCAGTTTACAGGAACTGCCCAGTGAGACAGGTGGGGCGCTCAGTCAAGGGGGTCCTCTCCTGAGCTCAGGGACCTACCTCAGCATTACGTGAGCAGCTTTTTGGGGCTTCTCTACCCCAAGTTGAAATTTGGTAATTTTCAGTTCTTCCCTTTGTTCCACCAGCCTAAGAGTGGTAGCTGCTTCCAACAGTAGCTACTGCTGGAATAAGTTAATGCCTTCTCTTCCTCTTACCTTTTCAGTTATCTACTTCACTTTATATCAAGGTTTATTTTGGGGGGGGGTGTTGTTTTTTGTTTTTTGTGGTGCTGAAGATGGGACCCAGGGCCTCATGTATGCTAGGCAAGTGCTCTGCCACTGAGCTACTTCCAACTTCCTAGTTAAGTTCTTTATTTTAGATTGCTCTATTCAGATATTTGGGGAGAGGCAAACAATGTCAACAGCTTTGAAAAAGGCATTTCCCACACTCTGTTGCCAAAACTACTCCTTAGGGCTTTTATTGAAGTCCAACAGCCCATGGTGTAACCCCATTCTTTAAACTGTCAATATCCCTGGACTCTGAGATGTCAGTGAGGGAGACTTACACTCAGGACCTCTGTGGATGTTTCTACAATTAAAGATCGCTAGGATTTTTAAGTTGACAAATAGGATTTTTTTTTTTTTTGAGCAAGTGCCTTTGTAGAATGAATGGTGCTTTTTATTGATGTGTGTGTGTGTCTCTGGGTGTAAAATAACAACAACAACAAAAAATCTTTGCAGGATATCTTAGTGTCTCACTCCTGTGATGTCCCAGGAACATGAGGGAGTGACATTTTCATTCCCAACAAAAGGAGGCAGGCCATATCTGCGTGCTTCTGTGGTTCCTTGTTGGGCGGGGAGGGAAAGGCTTTTAAATTCTTGTATGAGCAATGCCAGGTTCTTATGAATAGTTTCATAGCAGGAGAGCATAGGTACAAACTGGGCTGTTCTGGTTGAATGACTTGCTTGCCTTCTCAGATATTGCCAGCATTTTTTCCCCACCTCATTCACCTCCCAAATGACTCGTGCATGAGTATATATTCCTGAATGATTTATCTGAGCTTGCTTTCTTATCTGAGAACAGGAAGCCAAAGGTGAATGATAGAGTCAACTGGTGCTCTCTACTTCGCAGAAATTAAAGAGGATCCTGAATCAGTTTCTTCAACTTCCTGAATATCAGAAAATATATTTTTGGAGGGTTAGAAGAAGGCCAAGGAATATGGTGCTTACATTTATTTTCATGGACCCCAACTAGTCTTTTTTTGGAGACAGAATCACACCTTGGCAAGAGATCATCCCTAAGTAAGAAAGAAGCTAGTAAAGGTGAGAGTTTTCTTAATTTTTCATTTTTCTTCCTCTTAGATTCTCAAAAAATCCCTTATTATTAAAGAGGATGCAATCTTATACCTAGAAAGAGATAGAATAGGGAAAATAATCATTGCTAGAATGATGTCTCATAGTTTTTGTTAATCTTCCTCTAGAGGTTCTTTTCCCATCCCTATAATATCTGGTTTTCTTTGGTGGGACTCAATTACCTTATACTGTATTTAAAATGTAGGTGTGATTTGGTGGAATAAGCATTAAGCTTGCAGGAAAAAAAAGACTAATAGAAGGAGGAATGGAGTGAAGTCCTAATTTTCTTCTTATAAATGTGTGATATTTGATAAGTTATTTAGCTTCCATTTTTCTATCTAAAAAAGAGGTCTAGTGATACTACATCTCAGGTTAGTTGTGGAGATTAAATGGGACAACGTAAACTTATATCTCTGGCTCATAGAAGACACTCATGAAATATTGTATACACACAACTGTGTTTGTATCTGAATTTAGATAAATTTTAAATTTGATGGGCTATCTGAACGACTGTAGTGCATTTTTGGGGGGATATCAAATTGTTTGTACTTCTTTAAGAATATGGTTTTTTTTTTTTTTAAAGTTTGGCCAGATACCACATCAGACCACTGAATTATATCTGGGAAAAAAAGTATCTTAATATATACATTGCCAAATAGAAGCAAGAAATATAGTTTCTATTTGAAAGGACTTTTAGATTTCTAGAATTGGTGCTGAGAGTCTGAATTTCATGGATTATTCCTCCAGTCATAGTAGAAATTGTAGATCCCAAATAAGAGCTACATTCGGGATGGCAAGGGGTGGAAGGAAAACTAAGGAATGAAGTGTGGGGACTTCCTCCTACCATTGCACTTTTATGTCAGCAAGTGCTCAGATGTTTCTCTTTCCCTCTCTTGAGGGAGGTGGCTGTTCCCAGTGTGGTCAGCTGGTTTATATAGTCAGATTGTAGATCTCCATCATCAAGCCAGGTTTGAGAAGCTCCTAGGCAGGTCTTTTCTGAAAATACTTGTCGAGAGAAGAAATATGTCTTGCCATCAGTTTGGAATTGAACTTGACCTTTCTGGGAGCATGGTCATGGTTAGATTGTAATTGGAGGCATTTTGTTCTGTCCAAGGAGTCTATCTTCCTCTTTTCCTCTATGAAAATTCTGATGACCTCCCATTCCATAAAGATGATTCCATGGAAGAGGCTCTGCTGGCGATATCACATGTGGGCCCTTGGCTGTTATATGCTTCTGGCCATCGTTGCTCTGAGAGTTTCTCTCAGATTGAAGTGTGATTTTCAACATCTGGATCTGGACTTCAGGGAATTCCAAAGCCAGTACTGCAAGGATATCTTGTACAAGTCCCTGAAGCTGCCAACAAAGAGGGCTATCAACTGTTCGGGGGTCACTCGAGGGGACCAAGAGGCGGTCATCCAGGCTATACTGGATAACCTGGAAGTTAAGAAGAAGCGGGAGCCTTTCACAGATGCTGACTACCTCACCGGAACCAAAGACTGTGAGCACTTTAAAGCCAAAAGGAAGTTCATACAATTCCCACTGAGCAAAGAAGAGACAGACTTCCCTATTGCATACTCTATGGTGGTTCATGAGAAGATTGAAAACTTTGAAAGGCTGCTGCGAGCTGTGTATGCCCCTCAGAATATATACTGTGTCCATGTGGATGAGAAGTCCCCAGAAACTTTTAAAATGGCAGTAAAGGCCATTACTTCATGCTTCCCTAACGTCTTCATAGCCAGTAAGCTCGTTCCAGTGGTTTATGCTTCCTGGTCCAGGGTGCAGGCTGACCTGAACTGTATGGAAGACTTGCTCCAGAGCCCAGTACCATGGAAATACTTCCTGAATACATGTGGGACAGATTTTCCTATAAAGACCAATGCTGAGATGGTCCGGGCCCTAAAGCTATTGAATGGAAAGAACAGTATGGAGTCAGAGATACCCACCGAGTACAAAAAACTCCGCTGGAAATATCACTATGTGGTGAAAGATACATTGCATATCACCAGCAAGACAAAGGACCTTCCCCCATTTAATTTAACCATGTTCACTGGGAATGCCTACATTGTGGCTTCTAGAAACTTCATTGAACATGTCTTAAAGAATCCCAAATCCCAACAACTGATTGAATGGGTAAAAGACACCTATAGCCCAGATGAACACCTCTGGGCCACCCTTCATCGTGCCTCATGGATGCCTGGCTCTGTTCCCTTCAACCACAAGTATGACATCTCAGACATGACTGCCATTGCCAGGTTGGTCAAGTGGCAAGACCATGAAGGAGACGTCAATGAGGGGGCATCTTATGCACCTTGCTCTGGGACTCACCAGCGGGGTATCTGTATTTATGGAGCTGGGGATGTGCATTGGATGCTTCAGAACCATCACTTGTTGGCCAACAAGTTTGATCCAAAGGTAGATGATAATGCACTTCAGTGCTTAGAAGAGTATCTACGTTATAAGGCCATCTATGGGACTGAATTGTGAGACACACAGTTCTTGCTCCTCATGTGGCAGGAACATGTACACACATGACAGACCTGCTGGGATAATGTAGGGTGGGAGACTAGGGTTCTGGAATCCATAGCATCTCCTAGGATTAAGGGGGCTGCTGTTGGAGTGTGGGTAAGTAGACCTGCTGCCTTGTAAATTGCTGTCCTGGGTGGATGTCGATGGTTCTTCCACTCCTGTTCTTAGTAGTTCCTCCTCTGACTTTCTCATAGAGTTGAGAATAAGAACCACTATTATTAGGGAGAACAAGGGAGGAACATGTGGCAGGGGACTTTGGATTTGGCTGAATGCATGGAATCAGTTTCAACTCCATGGAGGTACTGTTTCTAATAATTCTAAACTTGGTAGTGGGGAGGAAGACTTTAATGGAGAGTTTGGCACGCTTTACTTGAAAATAAATAGCTCTTGACTCAAAGCCCTACCTCTACGTTTTGTTTAATAGGCCAAAAATGATACAAACAGATAAAATATGTGAGACTTTTCTCATAACTGTAGGTGACATTTAAAATCTCTAGTGGCTGGCAAGAGAGCTTCCATTATCCCAGAATGGTCCTGGCAGGCTGTATGAATAGCAAATTCAAAAGAATACAGAGGAACAGAGCTGGTTCTTTCATTATTAAAACCCTCTTCATTTTGTTTACAATGCCGGATTCATGATTTGTCTGTAAAGAAAAAGGCAGGGGATTCAACCATTTTCACCACCCATGACCTTCTGGGAAAATTTGCCAGTTTCACAGTTAAAGTTCCATAACAGATAGTGGCCATATAGATTAAGGTTGCATATCATTTACTGGACAGACTAGAACACATTTTAGTAGGGGAGTGGCTGCACTGTTAATAATTATATTGAGGAAAAATAAACTAGGACTGGCTAGCAAAACTAAGAGGTTTGATTATTCTGTTTAGGCCTTGAATCAAAACTCTTTTATTTCACTGTGTGAATGGAAGGGTCACTATGTGTGATTCTGCAGATTATACATTTTCTTGTGGGGAGACAATAATGTATTTACAAATGTAAATATGTATATATATAAATATACACATATTCTCCAACTCCCAAATATTACCTGGTAAAACAGTTTCTTCTCTGAAGCTCCAGAGATAATTGTTAGCTAGCCATTGTTCATAGTCTTGTATAACATGCAAGGGACACTATTAAAGAATACACAGTGGTCTTTGAATATATTATTGTTGATCTTCTGTGTACAATATGTTCTGGAAAAGTGATATATATATATGTATATATATGTATATATATATACACACAAGTTAATTTGTGTAATTTGATGTTCCCATTAATGTCATGAAGTTGTTAATGTGTTTCCTTATTTCTAATTTTGATTAAATTAATCAAGTGTTCTCTCAACAATAACTTTCTCTGTAGCCCATGTCCTTCTGATACAGTTACTATGTGTGACTTGGTGAATTTTCTATTTAAAATTTAGTGATTCCTTTTTGTGAGATTGTACTCCATCAGTAAAGGCCATTGTCATTGCCAGTTTTCTTGTGTTATAATATTGAGTCCTCTTCACCTCCCTGTCAGCCCTGTCATAGAAGTGCCTGATGAAGAGTTACAAGCTCAGTGGATGTGCCCTATAAGGTCTGTTGCCAGCAGTGGTGACTGCCCTGGCCTGAGTGACTGTTTTCCACCCTCCTCTGAGCGGCATGGAAGGGGTTACTGCCACTGTGAGAAGTAGACAGAAAAGCTACCCTTGAATCTATGTGTTCTGAGAATAGAACCCAGGTCTTTGGCCTCACCTTGCTCTAGAAGTTTTCAGATGAAATAAGTTATAATTTTTCATATAAATCAATTTATTCAATGTGTGAATGTGTCTTTTATGGGGGAACAAATTGCTGGAGTTTTCCAAGCACTGAAATTTTTCCTAGGAATATACTCAGGTGGACAGGAAATGCTCTTTATTTAATAACATAAGGTCTTCATACCATAAAGTTCAAATTTCACCCTTACAAGTTTAGCGTATTTTAGAATTCATAGTTAAATCAGCACATCTGTTGATTTTCCCTCCCCGCTGAGTCATACATGTTTCGTTAACCTTTCTTTGGAGAGGAAATATGCTGTAAATGAATTGAGCAACTATGTTTGTGTTACCTCTCAAGGTTTAAATTTCCTCTTCAGTTTTGATTTATGGACTATAATTGAGCCTTATTTTAATAACTATTTTTTTGTACATTCTGCTCATTGTAATCTTTGTTCTTCTTTTGGTTGAGTGAAATTTTTTAACAGACGAAAATAAGGCAGCTGATAACATTGGGGACATATAATTTAGTTGGAGAAGTCAAGTGTTTTGTTTAAAAATGGAGAGACTGATTAATACATTGGCTGCCTGCCTTAAGTACCTTAATTGACCCAAAGATCTATTCTTACTCTTATTTCAGTTACAAAAATGATTTTTGTCTTTATGAGGCTTGGTGTACTGACATGCAATAAAATAACTCATTCATTTATTCTCTGAATATGAATTGAGCTCTTAGTATTTACCATACAGTGTTCTTGACAGTGGGGATATAGCAGTCAACAAAACATGAAGAGCCCCACATTCATGTTACTCACACAAATAAAGTACAAATATGCAAACAAATAATTTTAAGTAGGAGTCAAGTGCTAGAGAGAAACTGAAAGAAGTGATAGTGACCTTGGGAAGGTGAGGAGAGAAGATGCTTAAAATTTTAAGTAAGTGGTCAAGGAAGCCCTTCAATGAAAGTGATATTTGAGTAAAGATCTGAAGGAGAAAAAGGAATGATCAATGAAGATAAATAGAAGAAGAGTATTCTAGACCAAGAAGACTTCCAAGGTTCTGAAATAGGAACACACTTGCCATGTTTTAGGGACATCAAGGGAAGTAGTATGAATGGAATAGAGTAAGGGAGGGCTCAAAGAAGAGTTAAGAGAGAGGAATAGGGAGGTAGCTCAGTGGTCAAGTGGTCGAGTGCTTGTCTCGCATGCACAAGCCCCTGGGTTTGCTCCCCAGCAGTTCAGGGGGCCCTACCCCAAACTGGGGGAGGAGAAGAGTTAGGAGGGATGTCCCGAGGAAGTGTATTGTGGAGGCCTTTGTAAACCATCACATGGATTTTGTCACTCCTGTGAGTGAAATAGGAGGCCACTGGAGAGTTTTGAGCAGAGGACTGATTGACATTTTAATGGGATGACTAACTGCTACCTTGAGAGTAGACTAGTTGGGGGCAAGGGCAGGAGCAAGGAGCCAGTTAGCAGGTTATGGCAGTAATCCAGGCACTGTGCAATGGTGGCTGGTGGGTCTAGTGTAACAGCAGTAGAAGTGAACATGATCAGATTCTGAAAATATTTTTGAAGGTTTAGTTGGAAGATTTGCTGATAGATAGACTGAGTTTGTTTATGAAACAGAGGAATCAAGAATGACAACAAAGGTATTGTCCTGTTAGCAGGACAGATTTGCCATTAAGATGGAAATTTTGTGAAAGAGTGGGTTTTTAATGGAAGATCAGAAATTTCAACTTACAAAATTGGGGATGTCTAGTGGGCATCTATATTAGTCCATTTGCTATAGCTGTAACAAAATACCTGAGGCTGGATACCTTATACTTATAAATAAAAGGGGTTAATTTAGTTCACAGTTTTAGAAGACTGAAAGTCCAAGATTGGGTGGCCCCATCAACTTGGTCTCTGATGAGGATCACCTTGGTACATGGTGGGAACACATGAGAGAGAGAGATCACATGGTGAGATAATAAGCCAGAGCAAGGGGAGGGACAAATCTCGTTCTTTTATAGCAACCCACTTGCAGGAACCAACAGATTCTACAAAAGTATATATTAGTACCTTCTGAGGGCAGTGCTCCCAATGACCTCCCACTAGAATCTACCTCTTAAAGGGTCCACTAACCTCTTATACCACCACAGTGGAGACCAAACTTCCAACACGTGAACACTTAGGGGATGCACTGAAACCACATCCAAATCTTAGCAATGTCTTAAAGGAGTAAACAGAAGAGTTCCCCAGACAAGTTTTGGCACTCTCTAAAATGCAGAGGTCTAGAGATGAAAAGAAATGAACAAAGCAGTTGAAAGGAGCAGCTGGTGTGGCAGAAGGAAACCCGGCAGGGCTGGTATTCTGGCAGTCAAGAGGAGAAAGGGTTTCAGGGGATGGGTGGCTGATGACTGCTGAGAACATGCTGAGAATGGCCTAAGTGAGGATGGAGATGTGGCCACTGCAATGAACAATGCGGAGGTGACCTTGGTAAGATCAACCTTTGGAATGTGGAGGTGAGAACCGGACTGGAGTTGCCTCAAAGAGAATCCTAGAACAAAACTGAATCTAACGAGTAAAATAAATCATTTGAGATTTATTTTAAGCCAGGAGATGGCGAAAAGACAGTATAGTAACTGAAGGCTAAGAGAAAGCTGTTTTGAGAATGGGAAAAGTGATTACATGTTTCTAAGTTGATGAGAAAGATCATCTGTGGGAATGAGATGAAGGACTTGCCAGAGAGACATCCCTGTGAAGAGGAGAGGGCTGACTAGAAAGCTTTGTCTTATTTTTTTGGTGGTATAGGAGTTTGAACTCAGGGCCTCACACTTGCTAAGCATGCACTTTACCATTTGAGTCATTCTGCCAGCTCTTTTGTGTGTGTGTGTGTGTGTGTGTGTGTGTGTGTGTGTGTGTGTTGGATATTTTCAAGATGGGGCCTCGTGAACTATTTCCCCAGGCTGGCCTTGAACTACAATCTTCCTGATCTCAGCTCACAAGAAGCCAGGATTATAGGCATGAACTACCAGTGCCCAGGGACAACTTTGTCTTTGATGGAAGCACAAACAGTTCACTAACAGTAACAGGATGGAAGACAGAGTGAATGGGCTCAGCACTGGTAGACTGGTAGATGTGGTGTTTTGTAATTGCTTATCTTTTATAATTAACATCTTATCTGAGGTACAATATTTGTATGAAGAAGTGTAAGAACCCCAAAAATATGGCTCAAGAA